AAGTAATCAAAGGAAGTGTACTGGAAGATCATTTGGCTCATCAAGCTGTAGATGACTACCAGTCTATGAATTTTGAGTTCTTGGACGAGAATATTATGCTAAAAACGGATTATGATGGACCGTATAAAGGACTCGAGCCAGGATCCCGATGGACTATGGTTTTCGACGGAGCTTCTAATGCACTTGGAAACTGAACTGGTGCTATAATTATCTCTCCATAGGGTTTCCATACACCCTTCACCACCAGGTTATGCTTTGATTGTACCAACAACATGGCTGAATATGAAGCATGCAACATGGGTATTAAAGCTTCTATTGACCTGAGAATTAAGTTCTTGAATGTATACAGGGACTTAGCTCTTGTAATCATCCAGATTAAGGGAGAATTAGATACGAAGAACCCAAATCTCATTCCTTATAGAGAACATGTGCTTACCTTAATCCCGTACTTCGAGGAGATCACTTTTGAGCACATCCCACGAGAATAGAATCAGTTGGCAGACGCATTAGCAACCATGTCGTCTATGTTTAAGTCAGATGAGACAACGAGGCCCCCAGAATTACCATTGAGAGGCTAGACAAACCGGCACATTGCTGTGAAGTTGACACTGACAGAGTAGAAGAGAAACCTTGGTTTCATGAAGTGAAAAGATTCCTTGAGGCTCAAGATTACCCCGAGGGGGAATCTATCAACGACAAGAAATTCCTATGAAGGTTCTCAACCAAGTTCTTCCTGAGTAACGGGGTTCTGTACAAACGCAATCATGATTCGACTCTGCTTCGCTGTGTAGACAAGAAGGAAGCAGAGAAAATTATGGAAGATATACACGAATGTATCTTTGGTACTCACTCTAGTGGACATACTATGTCTAAGAAGATTCTGAGAGCGGGTTACTATTGGTCAACTATGGAAACTGACTTTCATCACCACTTAAGAACTTGTCATAAGTGCCAGATCTAAGCTGACAAAGTACATGTTCCTTCAGTGCCTCTAAATGTCTTGATTGCTCCATGGCCATTTGCAATGTAGGGCATTGATATGATTGGAGAAATCAAGCCTACAGCTTCCAACAGACACCGCTTCATCCTCGTTGCCATTGATTACTTCATAAAATGGGTTGAAGCAGCCTCGTTCGCCTCTGTAATTAAGAATGTTATCGTCCAGTTCATTAAGCATAACCATATCTGTTGGTATGGCATCCCCGAAAGGATTATCACAGACAATGGTACCAATCTCAACAACACTATGATCATGGAACTCTGCATGCAGTTCAAGATCAAGCACCACAATTCTTCTCTGTATCGACCGAAGATGAATGACGCAGTGGAAGCCGCCAATAAGAACATTAAGAAGATTATACAGAAGAATATGGTTATGTATAAAGACTGGCACGAGATGTTACCATTTGCTTTTCATGGCTATCACACTTCAGTATGAACATCAACTAGGGCAACCCCATTTTCTCTAGTCTACGATATGGAAGATGTCCTACCTGTCGAAGTTCAAATTCCTACTCTAAGGATCATGAAAGATGAAGATTTAGACGAAGATGAATGGTTTCAGACTAGGTTGGACTAGTTGAATTTGATTGATGAGAAGAGGCTTGCAGATGTTTGTCACATTCAGATGTATCAGAAGCGTACGATCAAAGCATTCAATAAAAAAATCAAGCATCAGGTATATCAGACTGATGACGTGGTAATAAAGTGTATTATCCTTCCACAAGGTGATCCCAGGGGCAAATGGACTCCTACGTACGAAGGGCCATTTGTAATCAAGAAGATGTTTTCTGGCGATGCTATGATACTGACCACCATGGACGATGAATATTTTCCGCACCCTGTGAACGCGGACATATTCAAAAGATACTACGCATGAAAATGGTCTGCTGTGTTGACTGGCCTAGGCAAAAATAAGGGCATCCCGGCGAACCAAAAATGTTTCGGGAAAAAATCAGGGATATATATATATATATATATATATATATATATATATATATATATATATATATATATATATATATATATATATATATATATATATATATATATATATATATATATATATATATATATATATATATATATATATATATATATATATAAAGATTGTACACCCGGCAAGTTGAAAACCTGAAAAGGCGGCTTGGGAAAAAAAGGGTGTCCTGGTGGACCAAAAATCCGAAAGGGTAGTCCAGGAAAAAGATAGGGATTAAAGCGTACGGCTATATCTCGTTGGATCATCTACTTACAGTAAGCTTTGTTACCAATGTCAAGTTCAAACGGTACAAATCAATTCAGTCAACTTCTTCCGAAAATGAGGGATGAGATGCTCGAAGACATATGGGCAATAGCAGAGTTGAAACTCAACATAGTTGTTTTCTCTTTGTTTTACTTTGTACTCTTTTCATTTCACGATGATTTCCTCTTACTAGGATGTCTGTCTCTTTGTACAAAACTGCATGCTTATAGGCAAATTATCAATACAAATACCATTTCAAAATCCAAACTTTATTTTACTATTTATGTTTTGTTTGCAAAAACGTCCAATGACTAAACTGAATGAACATATGCATATGAATATGATTACCATTAACAAATATATGCATAAAAACATAAATAAGCTTTTGCTAAAGACTCCAGGAGTTGGGATAGCGCCCAAGTAATCCATATATATCCAGAGAAATCCCCACAGACTATCTTCACAAGCTCATTCCCGAAAAAAGACACATTTCCCGTAAATCCAATATTCTTTTAAGACAGTAATTGGGGCATCTTCCAACAATTAACCTAATCATACTCCCCAGCAGATTCCCCTAGTGGATAAAGGAGTGTGATCTTTCCCCCCATAATATATCCAACCTACAGAGTCCTAATCCTCATCAGAGATCATGTCATCAGCACAGTTCATAGAAATTCTCTTCCCTAGTTGAGTTTATTTCTCCAAAACTATAAAAAAAAACTCTGCATAATTCTCTTCCCCCACAGGGCACATTTCTTCAGCAGAATATATTTCTCCAGCAAGGTTTATTTCTTTAGCAAGGTTTATTTCCCCAACAGAATTAAGTCTCCCCAGCTTGAGTCTATTTCTCTGACAACTACAAATCACCGAAAAATTTCCTATCTCTAGTAAAGGACAATCCAGGCTACTACCCCCTAGAGATTTGCTACGAAGTCTGAAATCGGATCAGATATCAGTTAACCTTATCCTCCCCAGACGAGTTGACATCCATATCTAAAACATGGTCAGACAGGTGCCTCGAAAGGTTATCCATCTCATTTATCCCCAGTCAGGGTATATGAAAGTTCAATTCCCCAGTAAAGCGATGAACGACCAAAGTTCTTGGACTCTTCTCCCAAGAAGAAATCAATTTCCCAGCACAGTTTCTTCAAACAGCAAGCAGGAATCCTCAGCAGAGACATTCTAGACAAGATTGAAGATTCATATTCTTCATCCCTAGCAGCAGTCAAGGATTTATTTTCCTCAGCAAAGATGTTGTACGAAGCTACCGATACACTTCAATGACATCTTACATTCATACATCATTTACAAGTATCATAGCATATGCATACGAAACACATATAGCACACTCTCATTTACTTTGAGAACATCATTACGCAATGCATTACTGTAGCAACTGGATTTTTAATAAGAGTTTCCAGTATTAGTTTTTATCCTAGGGAAAGGAATCTAACAGAAAACCCTAATTCGCAGACAGAGATTCTAGGTTTCAGACTTCTTTAGACGAAAGGAAGGTGTTAGGCACCTTTCATCTACCTTGTTCACAAGGATACTAGGTTTTAGGTTTGAGTTGGGGAAACAGGATTTAAATTTTATTAGGGGAAAGGGTTTAAATTTTTTATAGGGGAAATCTCTACGATTTTAATCGTATGCCTACGTATCCTCTTATGAGGAATTAGAGTCCCAATTCGTAGTTCGTATTTGGTTGGTGTTTTTATAGGATTGTGTAGAATTTCTTTCGAATTAACCTTGAACCTTGTCTGGGTTGTAAGTTGAGTGAATGTAGACGCAGTTCGTAGTTAATTTGAAAATAATTCTCCTTAATCCTTTTTCGAAAATAATCTTGAGTTTTGATTATGTTAATAGAAAAAATAGTTTGTAATTGGTTAGCTGTTTTGGTGTTTGATTTGATTAAGACGTGGAGCGTGGGAGTCTGATATAGTCTCCTCCTCGCGTGTTCTCATCATGGGGCCAGATATTGACCACGTGTTGCTCGATATGAAGGATGCGGAGGAAGTCTGATATAATATTCCGTACCACATAGCCAGATGTTGGCCACATGTCGCTCATTGGTGAACTTAACGGGTTGCATGGATTTTAATTATTTGGTTTCGAATAATAAACTGATAAACGATATGTTGTCCGATTTAATTACTCGAAGGTGAACACACTATTGTTTGAATGTTTAAATTAATTAATCTAAAAACTAACCTAAATTGACTAAATTATTAAAAATTAATTTGATTAAATTACATAACCTGATTAGACTAGAAAAGTTAATTGACAAGTAAATTTAAATGGGTGTAAGTTGGAATAAGGTATTGATTAGTAACATGCCAAAACAAAAACGCAAGGCCCATATCTATTTTATTAAAACTCTCACTAACCCAAATAATATGAATTAATTAAAAATATATATATACAACCTTGTGACAGTATCAGGGGTGCCGCCCCATTTACCATCCATATGCCTTCACTCACTTCTCCCAAAAAAATCGGTGGTCCATTAAAAAGTGAACACGTGGCAGTATAATAAATAACATCAAAAATAATAAGTCATAGATACATACATTGTTTTTCCAGTAGAAGCAGCCAAACCCATATTCTTTTTCTTTTAATACTCTCTTCATCTTTTCTCTATTTGCTCCATTTAAAATTCCAAAAACCAAACATGTGCGTGCGAGATCGGAGGAGATAATTGTTGGCGGCCGCGAGCGGAAATGTGTTCTACGTTTTTCTTCTCCTTTTTCTGAATAGTTTATGACGTCGAGTTGTGAGGAACGAACAGAGGGCGAAAGAACTCGTCGGCAGACGATGCTTGAAGCGGTGCTGATGATGATGGTGACTGATATTCGATGGTGGCTGGAGATGCAATATTGTTGTGTGAGGACAGAGGCATTGAGTCAGCTTGCGGAAGTGAGCGTGACGGTTGACGATATTGGCGTGATACTGAGAACGACAGAGTGAGTATTGGAGAGAAGTTGACGGCAAGCGTTGAACGGAAGGACATATTGCAGTGGGTTGGTTGTTTGAGAAAAACATGCGCGGACAGCGTGTGGATGGTGATGGCAAGGATGATAGTGTTAAGTTCGTCTGGCGGCAGTGTTGAACGGAGGGTGCCATGTTGGCGTGATTTGGCCAGATCCAACTTCCTCTTCTTCTTATTGCTTGGAACTCGGAATTTGTTCTATTTGTTTCTGAATTCCCTTAGATCTACTCTTGTTGTAACACAAAAAACCATTGGAAGAAGGAATAACATGAAAAAGTATATGATGTGTAAAGAATGAAAAAAAATAGTGTAAATGGTATTCCTCTTTTAAAGTCTAAAATAAGAAAATTTAAAGATTGGTTTGTTAGTGTAGTGTTTATGTATTTGAGATTTTGGTTTGTGTTGTATATTTACAGATTAGTCAATAATGGAGGTTTTTTTGTATTAATTTGTACAGTACATGAATGACAATGTTATGTGGAATTTGTGAATAGCGTAATTGCATGAAAAATATTTGGCAAAATACCCTTTTTGGTCCTTTAAGTTTACCCCAAAGTCCATTTTGGTCCTTTATCTAAAAAAAGTGTCAAATTGGTCCTATAATTCTTTCAAAAGGACCATAGGAGTCCTTTCCGTCCAAAAGGCACAAACGGACGTTTGGTTTGCATGCGTGGCAGGTGACATGGAATGTTATGTACACCATCTTCAAGCTGCTTCCAGAAATCCTCAAATTCTAGGGTTCACACATTACATCTCAATTTTCCCATTTTGAATTTGAAATTCCCTCAATATGATGAAGGAAGCATCATCAGAGATCCGGTCTTCGTAGGATTGCAATAGAAATGGAAGCTTAGATGGAAAGTTGCGATGGAGACCTATATGTGGTTGTGGAGAATCTGCGGTTCTTCGAAGGGCTACCACTGTCACAAACTTTGGGAAGCAATTTTGGGGTTGTCGTCATTACAAGGTAAGCATGAAATTAAAATGGGTTTTCATATATTCTTGTTCTGATAGTTCCTGCAATAGCTGAGATGAATCTGGATGTCACCATTACAGGATTCATCTGAATCTGAGTGTGGATACTTTCAATGGTTCTTTGATGATGTGGTGGATGAGAAGGATCAGTTTATAAAGAAGCAGAATAATAGGTTGGAGAAGCTGCAAAATGAGCTTGATGGAGCAAAGATGGAGATACATCATCTAAAGGAAAGGAAGGATGGACTGAAACATAAGATAATGGAGTTACAAATTGAAATGAAGAAGATGATGAATTCTCAGAAAAAATGGAAATGATTCTTCTTTATTATGTTAGTTGTGGTAATTTGGATGATGTTGTAATATACTGTTGAATTGAGATTATATGTAATAGAGTATCATATGTAACACAGTCTCAATTTGAACATGGTATCATTATGAATTTGAATTTTTGTATCAACTTGAATTTTTGAACTAGTAGCATTTTGATCAATGTAACATACTGTAAAACATACTGTAGCAATTTTTGTATCAATGTAGCATTTTGATCAATGTAACATACTGTAAAACTAGTAGCATTTTTGTATCAATGTAAAACATAATGTAACATACTGTAACTAGTAGCATTTTGATCAATGTAACATACTGTAGCAATTGAAGATAGGTAACAACATATAATTATAAGGTGGTGGATACCACTAAGTTGCATACAAAAGAACCTGATATTACAGGTCCAATCAAAACAGCCTGATATTACAGGTCAAAAAAAAAACAGCTTGATATTACATGATCAAAACAACTTAACATAACCAATTCTAATATTACAAGTTAACAAAACAACATAACAACTATAGGTCCAATCCTAATCCAAAACAGACATAAAAGTAAACTAAAGTTTCCACTTTGGTGCTTCTCTTTTAGTTGGTGTTGTCCTTCTTGTTGTTGGACCTACAACAGTTCTTGATGCCTTTAACCTCGTTGTTGGACCTGGTGGGACAAATGGTGCATTTGGCCTTCTAACTGACAACTTTTTGGATGATTTAGATCGAGATGGCTGAGAAGCTTGACCAGGAACTGACTTAGATGCTTGAGATGCCACTGGTACAGATGCTTGAGATGGTTGAGAAGGCACTGGTACTTGTGGTACAGATGGTGCTTGTGGTACAGATGGTTGAGTTGCATGTGGTACTTGTGTAGTAGTTGTCTGACTAGTAGAAGGCACCTTACAAGTAAGCTTGTTGTGACCTACCTGCTTACAGCTGCTACACTTTATAATGAATCCCGTTCTTCTCATCTTTTTATCAGTGCCATCTAGCTCACCTTGCTCTAAATTCCTCCTTTTCTTTGGCCTTCCAGGCATTTTTCTTGAATTTGGGTGGTATAACATCAGGGTACTCAGTTGTAACCCATAGGTTTGAGCCATTAACAGGGAATATGACAGGTTTGTACACTTTCAAATATCTAGATTTCCTGTAATAATCAGGAATGTATTCATCAATCTTATGGTTCCTATTCTTGATTGCTGCAAGTGAATGAACACATGGTAGGCCTGTTAGCTCCCATCTTCTGCATGAACAGATTTTTTCCTTCAAGTTTACAGTGAATTTTTCAGCAGAATTTTCCAGATGCCTCACTTCAAACATATGCTCATCAGACATCCTAACACAGAAAAATGGACATTCCAAATTAAGACATCAAATGGACATTCCAAAGTCAGACATTCTAACACAGAAAAAATGCTTGTTTTAATAATTTTACCTGGGAAGCCACATGTTTGTGAATGAACTATCATCATCAGAACTATCATCATTCTGTCCAACAACATTTTCACTTGCCTCCTTCTGTCCAACATCATCTTGTTGGCTGAAGATTTTGATAGTGTTATTTGGAATTCAAAAAGAGCTAGAAGTTATGATCGAAATGGAATTAAAACACCACGTTCGAAATTGCAGAACCAGTGTTTCGAATGAGTGTGTCAAAGTTTGAAGCTTCGAACGGTAATCTTGGGAGCGTATTCAAAGGGGTCTCGAAACAGCAGTGAAGCTAAATCTGAGAAGAGCGTTCGAAGCAGAAGAACACCAAAGCATTTGAAATTTAAGTGAAAGCGGGACTTTCAAAGTTTGAAAGTTATGCGTTGGAGCATTTAAGGACACGTGGAAAGAGGAAAGGAACATTGTCTTGCATGTTCGAAACGTGGCATGATCTTGTAACGAGACCGTTAGGGTCGAATTAGTATAAATAGAAGTCTTAGTGTTAGGATTTCAGTGTGTCATATCTGTTATACAAAATACTCAATAACATTCAAACTACCACATGGCAAGGGAAACGAATGCAAGAGAGATGTATGTATGATAGCACCATGTATTTTTAATTTAATGAAAGCCTTTTTACTATTTCCAGCACTTTCTTTCTTTTTCTTTCTGTCGAACAACATTTACAAGTTTCTTTATCTACTGTCTTTTCATTCCAAAGTCCTTTCTTCAAAGTCTTACATTTTACTGTTTTCTTTACATTTCGAAGCACTTTATGTTTCAGAGAACTTTTACGCTTTCAATATCTTTACTTTCATAGCATTATTCTTCAAACCTATATTTTCACTTAAACTCCTTTCTAGATTTCTTGCATTAAACGCTTTCTTCATATTTTAAACTTCTACGTTCCAGAAACCTTTTGTGTTAAATGTTTTATGGATCGAAATCAGTTACTTCATTTTTCATACAGTTTTCTATGTCTTTTCAATTAGCATTACAATTAGCAATCATTCGTGTAACTTAGTTTTCACATACATTTTGACCACATTCTTAAACTCTTAGAGAGAGGAATCGAAACAAACCAAACATATATACAATAGCACCCATGAATAATTGTTCGATTGTGAGAGTAACCTTGATATCCAAGGAGTCCTAGGATCAATCTAGTCGATCCTGTGAGTTACCAAAGAGATTGAGTAGCGTTAATAAAGACTATTCGATAGTTTGGAAGACTAGCGGTTGTTTCCCAGAAATCACTGGAAACAAATTGGCACACCCGGTGGGACCAATAGTTGGATATCAGAATTAAGGATTGTCAAGACATAGCCATCCAAGAAACGCAGGAACATAAGAAGTTTGCTGTTTTATGAACCTGAGAAGTGGTAAGATAATCAACAGCAACCAACCTTTATCCAGAAGAAAACGTTTGGACAAAATGTCTAACTCAGACAATCAACAAGGAGACCAAGGCGGCCCACAGGCAACAGGCACTAACGCGTCCATTTCGAGCGGAGCATCTAATGTAATGCCTTCGAATGCACAGGCTGTTGCATCTTCAACCAGTAACATGGCCACCAACGGAGTAAGTGGCGTATCAACCAACAGTTCGATCTTAGGAAATACTGGAACTATGGGCTATCCTGGGGGATTCGTTCCGCCACCTGGGACACAATCCCATTTCGCATCTCCATCAACTAGACCACCCGGCTTCGATGGGAATAGAATTAGAAGTTCTTCTTACGGAATGCCAACATCTTTTATGGCAGGTTTGCACAATTCCACATCGAATTCATCCCCACAACTAGGATCCGGGTCTGGGGCAAACCAATTCATGTCAAATAACCAAGGGTCAGTGGGTTATAGCACGTTGCCTACCCTAACCACGGATAACCAGTTGGCTTTTAGGCAATTGATGGATGAAAGCAACCACAATATGATAGGGGTGTTAGCGCAAACCATGCAGGAAATATTCGCCCCAATAGTTCAGAATGTAACTGTGACGAACAGGGAAAACGCTGACAATATGAGTCGAATAGCAGATTTCTTTGCTCCCACAGAAAGGCGTAGGCAAAACCAGGCGGGATTTCGAACAAACGTGCCTGTTATAGAACAAATTGCCAACGACCCAATTCATAGACCACCCAGAGAAGAGGTTAACTTAGGGGCCAGAGCACCAAGGTTAGAAGCCCCAATAATTCCAGGCCCACAAAGGGAAGTTATGGAACCAGGGGCAAGGATCGAAAGACCAGAAGCCCCAGAATTTCGAGGAGAACAACCTAGGGGAGTTGTTTTGGT